CAATAAATCAGAAGTAGATTTTTTTTTTTGGAACTCTCTTGCTTTTTTGATGATACAACGGATGTTGGCAATTTGATCTCTGGTTCCTCTGCCTTTTCTAAATCCAGCTTGAACATCTGGAAGTTCTCGGTTCACGTATTGCTGAAGCCTGGCTTGGAGAATTTTGAGCCTTTGCTAGCTTGTGAGATGAGTGCAATTGTGCGGTAGTTTAAACATTCTTTGACATTGCCTTTCTTTGGGATTGGAATGAAAACTGACCTTTTCCAGTCCTGTGGTCACTGCTGAGTTTCCCAAATTTGCTGGCATATTGAGTGCAGCACTTTCACAGCATCATTTTCAGGATTTGGAATAGCTCAACTGGAATTCCATCACCTCCAGTAGCTTTGTTGGTAGTGATGCTTCCTAAGGCCCACTTGACTTCACATTCCAGGATGTCTGGCTCTAGGTGAGTGAGCACACCATCGTGATTACCTGAGTCGTGAAGATCTTTTTTGTATAGTTCTCCTGTGTATTCTTGCCACCTCTTCTTAATATCTTCTGCTTCTGTTAAGTCCATACCGTTTCTGTTCTTTATTGAGCCCATCTTTGTGTGAAATGTTCCCTTGATATCTCTAATTTTCTTGAAGAGATCTCGTCTCTCCCATTCTATTGTTTTCCTCTGTTCTTTGCACTGATCTCTGAGGAAGGCTTTCTTATCTCTCCTTGCTATTCTTTGGAACTCTGCATTCAAATGGATATATCTTTCCTTTTCTCCTTTGCTTTTCGATTCTCTTCTCTTCACAGCTATTTGTAAGGCCTCCTCTGACAACCATTCTGCTTTTTTACATTTCTTGGGGATGGTCTTGATCCCTGTCTCCTGTACAGTGTCACTAACCTCTGTTCATAGTTCATCAGGCTCTCTGTCTATCAGATCTGGTCCCTTAAATCAATTTCTCACTTCCACTGTATAATCGTAAAGGATTTGATTTAGGTCATACCTGAATGGTCTAGTGGTTTTCCTACTTTCTTCAATTTAAGTCTGCATTTGGCAATAAGGAGTTCATGATCTGAGCCACAGTCAGCTCCCAGTCTTGTTTTTGCTGACTGTATAGAGCTTCTCCATCTTTGGCTGCAAAGAATATAATCAATCTGATTTCGGTGTTTACCATCTGGTGATGTCCACGTGTAGAGTCTTCTCTTGTGTTGTTGGAAGAGGGTGTTTGCTATGACCAGTGCGTTCTCTTGGCAAAACTCTATTAGCCTTTGTCCTGCTTCATTTTGTACTCCAAGGCCTGTTACTCCAGGTGTTTCTTGACTTCCCCTATAATGAAAAGGACATCTTTTTTGGGTGTTAGTTCTAAGAGGTCTTGTGAGTCTTCATAGACCCGTCCAACTTCAGCTGCTTCAGCATTACTTGTCGGGGCATAGACTTGGATTACCAAGATATTGAATGGTTTGCCTTAGAAGCGAACAGAGATCATTTTGTCGTTTTTGAGATTGCACCCAAGTACTGCATTTTGGACTCTTCTGTTGACTATGATGGCTACTCCATTTCTTCTAAGGGATTCCTGCCCACAGTAGTAGATATAATGGTCTCTGAGTTAAATTCACCCATTCTAGTCCATCTTAGTTCGCTGATTTCTAGAATGTCAATGTTCACTCTTGCCATCTCCTGTTTGACCACTTCCAATTTGCCTTGATTCATGGACCTAACATTCCAGGTTCCTATGCAATATTGCTCTTTACAGCATTGGACCTTGCTTCTATCACCAGTCCCATCCACAACTGGTAGTGTTTTTGCTTTGCCTCCATCTCTTCATTCTCTCTGGAGTTATTTATCCACTGATCATCAGTAGCATATTGGGCACCTACTGACCTGGGGAGTTCATCTTTCAGTGTCCTATCTTTTTGCCTTTTCATATTGTTCATGGGGTTCTCAAGGCAAGAATACTGAAGTGGTTTGCCATTCCCTTCTCCAGTGGACCACATTCTCTCAGACCTCTCTACCATGACCCGTCCGTCTTGGGTGGCCCCACACCGCATGGCTTAGTTTCATTGAGTTAGACAAGGTTGTGGTCCATGTGATTAGATTGGTTAGTTTTCTCTGATTGTGGTTTCAGTCTGTCTGCCCTCTGATGCCCTCTCTCAGCACCTACCATCTTACTGGGGTTTCTCTTACCTTGTACGTGGGGTATGTCTTCAAGCCTGCTCCAGCAAAGCGTAGCTGCTGCTCTTTAGCTTGGATATGAGGTATCTCCTCTCGGCCGCTTGCCACTCAGGTATACTTGTTGGCGCCCTAAAAATAGGACTTTTAGTTAGTTTCTGGGATCTGAGGCAAGTGTGCTTGAGCAGAAGCAAATTCAGGGACTGATGCAATACCTGGATTGATTTGATGCAGGATAAATTTGAACACATTTTAAACTGAAATAGATATTAAATATTGATCCAGTTCTGTTTATTAGTGTCATTTGATAGTCTGTAGGTTAAGAACTTCAGAAATTTATTTATTAGTAATAAAATTCATTTTGATCTTGTTTCTCATTCCATTTGTAGGAATCAGGGGCACAGGGGAGCTTGAATGAAGAAAACTCAATTATACTGATACTCCAAGTATTTGTCCCCTGCCTCTGAAAGCAGGAAGGAATTGTGATGGGGTTAGGACTTAGCAGTGGTAATCTGAAGGTCTTCTGAAGCTTTGAAAGGAATTGAGGGAAACTTTTTTTTTTTTTTAACATCTTCACAATGTTGATTAAATCATCTTTCTTTTCATTGCTCAGTTTTTCTCTCACCCTGAATTATTCATTTTTATGAACTGGTATATCTTATTGAGTCACTTTGGTTGATACCTAACAGTGATCACTTGATAGGTAGTAATCAGACACCTTTTTCATGATCCGCACTTTGAGTCTTGATAAAACAGCGTATTCTTTCCCTCAGTCTGATGGTTAACATATTGGGGCAAAGTCCAGACAGATCTTCATGGTCTGGGTGTGCCTCTAGGACCTGACATAGTGTTCTGCATGTGCTCAATAGTAAGTCCCTGCTGGATGAGTGATTGCGTAGTCACGGCTACTTCCTTGTCCAGTTCTATACCATTAAGAGCCTACGTTAAGCTACTGTGGTCTTGGATCAGAGCCTAGTATTTATTTATCAAATATTCCTAAAATGACTTGTGTGCCAGGCACTGTGCAAGTTGCTGTCAGTGTACTGGGGAGAAGGTAAATGAGCAGAAACCGACAGAAAGCTGGATTCTAGAGCCTGACAAGACCAGTGGCATTTTCTAGAGTAAACATCCTCAAACCTGCACCAGAGTTTCCACTGTTGGACTCAGGCGGTGGGTTGGTTGCTAAAACCAGGCATTTAAAATTTGCAGGAAAAAAAAATAAATTATGACCATAATTCCTCTAAGTATTTTCATCCATAACATTTTTTTTTAAAACAATTACTACTTTTGGTAATATTGACAGAAGACAGCATGATAAACAAATAGTAAACTAAGAACAGGAAAACTTACAACTAGTTATTCTTAACTTGAGGACCTTAAAAAATAGTCACTTTTATATTTTACAATATAAAAATTACTTAAACTGATTTTTATATTGTATCCTACATATGTGTGTGTATAAGTATTGTACACATATATGTTTTCTGCTACTAAAATTATTCCCAGTTTCTGTGATTGGACTAAATATATCGTAAATTAAAGCAGTCTGTTCTGTTGCCTTGCAGGAGACGTGATAGAAGGTAGAAAAAATACATTTGAGTGGTGTTTGGAGAGAGAATTTCAAACTCCTGAAGAAATAAAGCTGAATAACATACTGGTTTTTATAATATGTCATATACAGATAAAGAGCCCAGCCTTTTAATTTGAGATGAAGGGTCTTGCTAGCATTAGTAGAGACAGGTTGTCATTTCAGAAACCTTTGCATTCATCTTATATGAGCAGTAATAGTAGTCTAACCAATAGTAGTATGTCAGTATTATAACCAATAACCAAAAGTTGAATCTGAAAAGCATGCCAGTCATCGTGAATCAGTGAGGAAGTGGTGAAGCAGAATAACGTCAGGGGCCTTTTTTTCTGTCTTTTTGGTTTGACTGACTCATTGGAGAGGAGTCTAGCCCAGTACATAGGAATGAGCTCTCTGCTGCTCCTTATTTAACGTTTATGCCACAGATGTTCTTTGAACTGCTCCATGATGGCCAGCACTGAGCTGATTACCGAGTGCTTAGAATAGTTGACACTCACATCTCACTTCCAAGGCGCCAGATACACTTTTAAGCACTTGGTGTCGTATTCATTCATTGAATATTTAGAAAATCTGTGAGTTAGGCACTGTTACTCTCCACATTTTGCAGATGAGGAAAATGAGGCACACAGTAGTGTTGCTGATCCCAAGTCACTTGGGTCACTTGGCTAGTAACTGAGGAAGTGGGGGCTTGAATTCACGCCGTCTAGCTCAGCGTGTGCCTTCAGCTGCCCTGCTGCCCTCTTCCCCACACCTTTGCCTGTTCCGCTAGTCTCCTTTCACATCTGCGTGAGCATCGGAGGCTGGATTTGTGTTTGGAGTTGATGGTTTGCGCATGGTGCTGTGACCCTGCACATTTGAGTGTCTGACACATGCAAGTGCCTGATACACGGGTGTTGAATGAGTGATTTTTGAAAACTGAGAGAATTTCAGATGTGATGTTAAGCGAATTTGGAATTATGTTGGTTGTTCCTCTGATTCACTGGGTAGGAAAATGCTCGTGTGTGAAGACTTGGGTTGCTGTGTGACCAGTCGGTGGTAAGCAGCGGTGTGCGTGTATACCAGTGCCCTGCGGTCATGGGCGCGTGTGCTCATCCCGTTCCTACTGCACGTGGAGACCCGGGACAGAGTCCCCCTGTTTGAGTCCACGTCCCTGGCTGTGTTTCCAGGCAGCCCCACCCTTCCTGCTCTGCTCTCCCGGGGTCCCCTCATGATCTGTCCTCTTCTGTGTCCCCCAGTCTGACTGGCAGTACTGCACACGCCTGCCTGCCTGCCATGGGCTGTCGGGATGTCCACGCGGCCACCGTCCTCTCCTTCCTGTGTGGAATCGCCTCGGTAGCAGGCCTCTTTGCAGGCACGCTACTTCCCAACTGGAGGAAGTTACGCCTGATCACGTTCAACAGAAACGAGAAGAACCTGACCGTCTACACAGGCCTGTGGGTGAAGTGCGCCCGCTATGACGGGGGCCATGACTGCCTGATGTACGACGCTACCTGGTACTCCTCCGTGGACCAGCTGGACCTGCGGGTCCTCCAGTTTGCGCTGCCCCTCAGCATCCTGATCGCGATGGGCGCCCTGCTGCTCTGCCTGATCGGAATGTGTAACACGGCCTTCAGGTCCTCCGTGCCCAACATCAAACTGGCTAAGTGCCTGGTCAATAGTGCGGGCTGCCATCTGGTGGCCGGACTGCTGTTTTTCCTGGCAGGCACTGTGAGCCTCTCCCCGTCCATCTGGGTCATCTTTTACAACATCCACCTGAACAGGAAGTTCGAGCCAGTCTTTGCGTTTGACTATGCTGTGTATGTCACTGTGGCTAGTGCTGGGGGCTTGTTTATGACAGCGCTGCTACTATTTGTTTGGTACTGTGCTTGTAAGTCCTTGCCTTCTCCTTTCTGGCAGCCTCTGTACTCCCATCCTCCCGGTATGCATACATACTCACAGCCCTATTCCGCCCGTTCCCGCCTCTCTGCCATTGAAATCGATATCCCAGTTGTTTCCCACACCACCTAGTGGGGAAATCGTTGTTAAAGAAAACTTGTAGCCTCGTGTTTCCCTAGTGAAGGAGCTGTTTTGGACCTATATCCATTTTCCTCTGTTCCTGATCAGTCGATGAAGCCAAATCTGTATGTCTTGGTAGGATGAAGTGCTGCTAGTTTTTATGAAAAGTACAATATTTTGAATGTGAATCATTCCTTTTATCTTGCTTCTTGTGCTCAAAGCATTTTTAACCTTCATATTGATATCTGATCAGTTACTTAGGTAGAAAGGACCTGTGTCTCAATTGAGGTGAGTTAGAGCCACATAGTAAAAAATGATTATTAAGAGGAGCTGTTGTATGCGATCCTTAGAAATACTTCAGAATGTCAGAATGTGTATTGCCCTTTTTCTGTAATTCCTTAAATTGGTGGGAAAAAAGGGACAATTTCAAATTAAGCCTTTTCTTTTTTCAGGTAAGGGTAATAGTTTATCAGTAGCCAGTCTACCAGCTTAGACTGTAACTTTTCTTACTTCTTTCTCGGGGCTAATTGTATTGAATAGAGTTTGGTATTTTGAAGATGACTTTCTTTCGTGAGTTCTTATCTTCTACCTCATGCCTATGTTTAAAAATAAAATGTATTTTAAGCGATGTCAGAGAGAATAAGCCTAACCTTGAAAATATCTGTTAGTGTGGATAACATTTAACCTAATTATAAAAGCTAATGGTTCTATAAGTTGTATTATTAAACTGTGCCAGGTGACAGATCGGTGCTTCCTTTGAGGCAAAAAAAAACTTTTCTTCCGGATATCATCGACCAGGTGGCACTCAGGCCCACATGGAATCTCTTAGTGACCAGGAGAAAGGAATAAAAAGGCCCGAGTGGTTAGTTCTCCTTCAGATAGTAGCAGGGGACAAGCGTCTGCTCTTCAGTGACAACAGCAGACACTCATCAGGGTGACTGCCTTTCGGGTGATGGGTGGGGTGAGGCATGCCCTCCCCATGACCATGTTCACTCTTGATTCACTTCCCGCCCCCATCACCGATTACTTCCATGAGCGTGTATCTTTGCCCAGCACATTACTAGGTGTAGAGGATACATGGAAAGTATGAGATCTCGTCCCATCTACTAAGAGATTTTACTGCAAGATGGAAGATCAAATGGTTAACTGACCTCTGTGGCAGCTGGTCTTCACTTCTCAGTCATTGTTCCGGAGTACATTTCACCCAAAGACATTGCTTTCTGGCAGACAAGCTTATTGTAAATACCAGCAATATTTGGAACCAGAAATTCAGTTTGTTGGGTCCTTTAGAGCACCTACCTTAGCCTTGATGCTGTGATAACAGGGTATCAGATTCATGAGAATTGGATGGGCCACAGTGGTAAAAAAATAAACCCACCAATTGTTCCCTTTTCACCTCTAAAAATATGATGACATATCAAAGAGGGAGAAGTATTTAAAATCTCTCTTCCAATGGGATAATGTTTAGAGGAAACCATGTTAACACCGAGATGAATGCTTAGAGATTCAGGGATATTGGGTCTTCACCCTTAGGAATTTGAGCTGCTTACTTATTTGATGTAATTTGCTCCACATCAGTACTGTGTTCATGGGGAATTTGTTCTATCACCCATTACAAATTTCACATACAACTAGTTGCATGATCAACATGTTATTGTGCCTCTTTTGCAAATCTGAATATGCTTCTGGTACTTCTGTGTATAAAGCAGTACTTTCGTTGCTAATTCCAAACACTGGTTTATGTAAATAGCAAGTAAATCCAGTTGTATAATTTTTAAATGCCTTCAGTTGGAAGCATGCAAAACTCTGGTTTTTAAGTGATAGCTTCTGATTTCCTTCAGTTCTTTTTACTCTTCTTGGATGTAGCTGAGTTTTGATCATTCCAAGACAACAGCAGGTAGAATTTTGAGATTAATATTCATTTTCTCCTTTACTAATTAATTTATGTCCCTGTTGTCACTGACTTTGTCCAGAAGTGTCAAGAATTCCACCATTCTTTTTATAAACAATGTTAAAAGCAGACCCAGCCTTTAATATTCTAGACAGTTTTTAGTCCATGGGACCATATATATAAAATGTTGAACTTTTACTACAAGCATTTTTTGGATTCTTTTCATAAACTGTAGCCTCAAATTAGTGTTTATTATGGATTCATTTGGCAAAAGAGACAGCTGTTTCCCTTATTATCATTAATATTTCAGATTTGCTATCAGAAACTATTCTTATTCTTCAAAGCCATCAAAGGAATCCATATATTTATAATTTTTTAAAATAACTTTTGAGCATTCATCAGGTTGTCATTGTGATGGGGGATATCTTTCTTTTGTTGTTACAAGTCTCTTCATGTTAAAGGTCTTTTACAGAAGGTTGGGAAACAGTTTGAAAAACCTTAAATGCAGTATGAAACACCAGTTTTGGTTTATCCAACCATGGGAGGAAAAAATGCCTGAGTTTACTTTACTTGTAAATAAATATACACTATAATAGATAATATGTTTGCTGTAAACTGCTGTGTAAAACTTCGATAAAACTGCACTGTACTTCTTGATGTTTATTAAAAGATGTATTTTTACAGGTTTCTGTTTCTGTCCTCATTTTCATCGGTGGTTTAAGGTGAAATATTTTGAGAAATGTTTCTCAAATATGTGCAAATTGTAAAAGACACAGCCCCTTTTAAAGCCCTGTAGAATAGCAGTTGTAATCAGAAAACTTAGCATTATTATTTCAGAAACATCAAGACCCTTCATTTCTAAGAATGATCTTAGGAGTTCACTGGACTATTTCAACATTCCCCAGAAAAACAACAGATAAAGTCAAATGGGCCAGACTTGCCTCTTCAGTGGACTTTCCCAGTCATCTGTGCTCTTGGAGATTGAGAGTTCTCAGACAGTTAAGTGGGAGGACATTTCTTCATTCTTCAGAACTCAGGGTTACCAGGAAAAGTGGTCCCAATGGGTAAGTCACCTCAGAATTTCCGGGACCTGAAACGAGCTTTTAGTTTTTAGTCTCCCAGCGTTAGCGTTCACAAGCACTCCTCACTGAACCCATGGCTCTCATGAGTCAGTAGATGCCAGAACTGCATGTTGCTCTAGAAGTGTGAAGCCATTTCAGGCGGGCCATCCCCATAGCTGATTATACTAACACACTACAATCTGGAGTCTGCCCCCAAGTTGCACAAACTCCCTGAGGGTGGCTGAAATGCTGCAGAAACTCCTCATGCTAGCCAAATTCACAAGAGTGATTTACCAACCGGAAGTGAAAAATATAGCTGGCTTGCAATCACTATCCAAGACCAATTTTTAAAAATATACCCTACACAGAGCTCTATGGAGAAGACTGATTGCAGTCCAGGCGGTAGGAAAGATGCAAGATGAGCCCAGCACATCGTCTTCCGCAAAAAGAAACGCTCGAAGAACGATGGGGACTTAGCAAATTACACAGGAACTGGTTTAAAGAGGTTCCTGCTGGTTGAATCTGGGACAATCTAAGCATCAAAATAACATGGAATCTATTGAATAAAGCAAAAATCCATGTATCCCTACTGATGGAAATGGGAAGAAAGAAAAGTTGCTTTTTCCAGTAAAATACCAAATGATCAGTATAGAAAAATAGATGGAGTTGGGAAAACATCAATGGAATTAAAACTGATTGGTGAAAGTTTGACAAAAACAGGATATTTACATAGTCTCAAAACACTCCTCTACAAATAACTTACTAATTTCAGAGGGGAAAATGGTAACAATGGGTCAACTTGGCAGTGGCAGCTTTAACCAAGTGAATCAGTTTATCAACAATGTTAAACCAACACCATGCACCTCTTGATATGATGCAATGAGAAGGTCAGATCATTGCTTTTGTGTTAGTTCCACTAAGAACATTGCTTAAGACTTATCTTGTGGAAACATGTAGCTTGTCAGCTCTGCTGTTGCACTTTGCTTCCTTCTCTACCTCTCCTGATCTCACAGCTCTTCAATTTTATAAAAAAGCATAAAAACTTACAGTCAAAATGATCTCTAAAATATTTCATGTTTAGGAGAGAATTTGAAGAGCTTGCGTCAGGTTTCTCTGGAAAAAATAAAAAGGAAAGGTCCTTGCAGAAGAGATATAAATCAAAGTGACAGAACCATAGGACTCAAGGGATCTGAATTAGCTGTCCCATTTCATTGATTAGCAATACCTTCAGTCCTGAAGCATACTGTCAGGTTAGCCTAAGGGCTATCTCCTTTCCTTCCCCTCGCCCACACTGGAGATCCTTTCTAGGAGAAAGTCATCCCCCCTGACCCTGCTGGGTGTCTCACCACCCTCTAGCCAGGAAGGTTCTGTGTCAGTGCCATAGCGTGCCAGAGCCCTTTAAAACCTCACGGTAGGACTGTGGAACTCTTCGGGAAAAAAGCACAACTGTGGCCTGCCTAGTATTCCTATACAAATCTGCTATTAACAGGGAATTTAGGTTTTTTCACTTTGTTTGGAAATGTGCCAGTTTTCCACACTGTTCTGTGAAACAAATATTTAAGCAGATTTTGATGAAGACAATGAGATGGTGGATGAGGAAAGAAATTTTTTCTTATTTTCACATTGTGAAAAACCCAATGTGACTGGGTCCTATTAGTAATAATGTAGTAATCATGGTTTCGAGTGGTCCTTGTTCACTTAAATTCTCTATAGAAAAAAATATATGTGTAGATTCATGTCTCCAGGGTTATGCTTTATAGAAAAAGGTAACAGCTTCTCATTAAGAGAAGAAGTGAAGTGAAGTCAAGTCACTCAGTCATGTCCGACTCTGTGTGGCCCCGTGGACTGTAGCCCACCAGGCTCCTCCGTCCATGGGATTTTCCAGGCAAGAGTACTGGAGTGGGTTGCCATTTCCTTCTCCAGGAAATCTTCCTGACCCAGGGACTGAACCCGAGTCTCCCAGATTGTAGGCAGATGCTCTACCGTCTGAGCCACCACTGTAACTGCATTATATATCCCGTGGCCTTGCTCCATAATTCACTCTTAATAGTTTGAAAGGG